GAGATGGGTCTTGACCAATGACAAGTAGGGGATAAATACGTACTTGCATATAGCAATAAGCTACTATGCGGTAGTTATGCATTATGAAATAATATGTCATTGATTTGCATTTGAATGTTTTATGCCAATTTGTCTAGTTATTTTTATTTGCGTATCATGATAGAAAAGATAGTGCATTTATTCATTCATTTGGCATATAACAATATTTTATACTTGTCATGATATCATGTTGTTTCGTTGGTATCGAGTCGAGTGGTAAAATGACCTCTTACCTTAGACTTAGAGATTTCATTTATTGGGTTTTGGCTCATCCTTATATTTTACAGATACGTTGGATGGATCCTCCTTCCGCGCTACAATGCGGAGTGCCTACATGTTATAAAAGTGATTATCATAATGAACATATACCGGGGTTCAAAATAGTACATATTAAATGTGCTTCCATTATATGGGTTGAAGTAGGGCTATAGTAGTTTTTTTTTTTTTGGGTCGGTCCTACTCTATCTCTCACTCACGATACACACTCAGACTTGCGCCCCATCTCTTGCAAAACGTGGGCGTCGAAACCTGGCCACCCTTTTCACTTGAGAAGGGGGAGGTAGGGAGTTCGAATTCCCACCTTCACAGGGGTAGAGGTGGGGCCGCGTAGGGCTATAGTAGTTAATCACTCATCATTTCACCGCATGGTACACTAACATTAATGGTGAGATTGTAGGACCATTGAGGGGATTCAATGGTCCACCGGTCATGACGATGGAGGTGATGTCATGATATCCAAGGTCATAAATCCTTGAGTCGGACGGTGGTTTAAATAATGTACAGATAGGCTTTTGGCTAAGTATGAGTGTAGCGATTCTAGTTGGCCTGAGCGTCCTCCCATGATTAATGCATTGTTTTCTATTTTATTTTGGTTGCTTGTTTTAATACTTGGAAGATTGATGTAAAAGAAAGGTGCACATATATATATATATATATATATATATATATATATATATATATATATATTTATAAGTATGTATGCATGTATGTGTATATATATGCATATATTATTTAAACTTGTTACCAAATGATGTGATTGTTTTACTATGCTTTTGCGTGCTTAAAAGAGTAGCAGACAAATTAAAGAAAGATCTCATGTCGCGTGTGACGTTTTAGGATTACATCCTGAGTGTTTGAAGCCATGAAAATCTTATGTTGAGATTTTTTATAATTCTTTTGTGAGATTGAGAGATTACTTCGTTAGAAATTATGGGGGTTAAATACTATGTGAGTTATTTGATGTAATTGGAGGCTGGGAAATACTAAAAGTGTTCAAGTGACTTGAGTGTAACTGTAATCTCCGTTTGTGTCGCTTGATATGTAATGTAATTATGAGCTGCTCTCCCCATGGACATAAGTTACATCGAGCAAACTACATAAATTTAATGTCCAATTTATTCTCTTATACTATTTATTTTATTATTTGATCGCTTAATTATTTTCGCGATGATGGCTTGATTTCACAAAATTGTTGTTAGATTCGCCAACTTGAGTGGATCTTTTTGGCCAAAAGTCAACTCAACGGTATTATTTTAAAATTAGAGGGTCCTTAGAAAGCAGTTATTACAAGCATTCCAAGGACTTAAAGAGTCACGTTGAAATCGAGCTCAAGACATGGCAACATAGGCTTTCAGAAGATTTTTTGGTGCGTCTCTACATTCATGCTCCCCATCAAGGTGGGCCACGAGAAATAGCACGAAATAGCCTCCTCAATTCCTCTCCTCTCGCAAGGAAATCACGTCTAAGCTTTCGAATCCTCTCACTTTGGTTCTTGAAAGTGTTCTAATTGGAGATAACATATTCCTTTGGCTTCAAGGTTACGCATTCAAGTTCTCTCCTCTAGAATGCTTGTCCAGCTGTCTTCATGTCCAATTTTTGCTACGTCATGCATGATGTTCGTCTCTTGAACGTCGAACTTTTTCTCCTTGGGCCCTTATCTAGCCAGCTCATTTGGTTCACGAAATTTCCCTTTTCACGTTATTAAATTCATGAAGTCAACCCCAGGAGGTGATTGGAGTGACTCACACCCAAGAAAAAGGCAAGAAACCGGAGGTGATGGGATTGGATTGGATGGTCAAGGATTGGCGGCGATCGACTTGAGATGAGCGAGACTTGTGCCTAAAAGACTATGGATGGAGAAATCAATCCCTATGTTGTTTGAATGTTTACTATTTAAGTAAGGCAAACTTTCATCGACCGACCAAAAATCAAGCCGTGGAATTGATGCTAAAATATATATATTTTCTATTTGAGAAGGACTGCGTTTTTTCCACTTCCACCATGGCTACAAAACACTCCATGTTACAGTGTTTTGACAATATTAATCTTTGTGGGTCTCACTTTTTTAAGTATCCTTTTTTGTTTGGTTGTGGTATCCCATTTGCTTTCTTCTTTATCTTTTGTCGTGGGTTCCATTTTCCTCCTTCTACTTCTCTCCGTTCCCCCTTAATTCCGATCATGGTTCAAGCCTTTTGTAGTATCTGTAAAAACAAAAAAGAACACTCTCTTTTGTGGTTTGTCTCTATCACTAGTTGTCTATGCAACATAGCACTCATCAGTTTTTGAACCGTTAATTGGAGTTTGATACCCAGAAACACGATAGGCATAAAAGCTCCCGCATTGAACTTCTTAACAGCTATCAGAACACGGAGATTCAAACACTTGATGGGCAACATGGCCACCTCATCGCATAAGGGCTCAGACTTGAGGATTAAGTACATAATCACCTCTTCAGCCCTCTTAATCACTGGCGGTGGCGGCTAGGCAATTGAGATCGGCGCAAAAGTATGAGAGACTACAGGGGCAAGGAGGGAAAATCTTCGCCGATCTTGAGGATGGAATTGTTGTTCTTGAATGTGGCATTTTTTATTTTCGTAAACAACTTAGTGAGAGTTTGGGGATTCAAGCCATGGATCTATAGTTTGGTAGGTGATGGCGAATCAGCGATGACGATAACAATTAGGACCAAGATGATGAAGATGGAGAAGCACACATCGCTGATGATCTTGATAAGGTTTTGGGTGAGGGCTTCAACTCCTAGATCTGATTTTTTAACGGGGGTTTTTCTTGTCTTTATAATCGATCAATGAAATAGTTTGATGTGAAATGGGACAATGAAAAACACAGAGAGAGAAAAGGGATGGTATGGGGCAGAAGAGTGAAGGGATATGAGATGCATTTTTTTACTAACAATTGAGCTTGACTTGAAGAAATGGAGATAGAAGAAGACTAATTGGGTGAGGGGGAGGTTTATGCATATGTGGGCTACAACACATATTATTAACATGAGATGGGTGTTTTAGAAAGGTTAATATTGTCAAAACATTATGCTAGAAAGTGTTTTAGTCACAGTGAGAGTGAAAAAAGAGCAATCATCTAAAGAAATCCAAATTGAAGTTAGGGTTCCTGCTCAAAATCTCCAATTTCGTTTATTCCCAAATTATAAATTAGGGTTCGTGCACAAGAGTTCCAAATCATTTCTCTTGAACGAACAAGAATCAGTTGTAATGTTAATAGTAATATTAGAGAATTTGGGAAAATTAGGGCTTGCTCCAGATTACCGGCCAAATGCCCACCTCGCTCACCCCGAGCTCCTCGCCTCCATGGCCGACGCTATCACCGACGTCGCCCAGACTAGACTCGTCCTCAAGAACCTCGACAACCGCCCCAACCTTGAGGCCGTCGACCATGCTCGATCAAATCCGGCCAACATCGAGTCCCTCCCTATCGATGAAGGTCACAGGTCGTGCTCTCCCCCGGGGCCTCCCAACGTCAATTGACTCAAGTGGCGGGACCACCTAGCAGAGAGGGAGAGAGTGTACACACGGTAGTAATGTCGCTTGACGTGAAGAACGAGGCGTGCCCGAAGATGTTTGAGCATAAACCAACTTCAATTTGGGCAAAAACCAGAACATTCCAAACAAAATTGCCAACCACTATGCCACTCTTCTCACTTGAGAAGGGGAGGTGGGGAGTTCGAATCCCCACTTTCGCAAGGGGTAGGGGTAGGGGTGAAGCTGCGTAGTTTAAGATGTGCGTTTTGACGCCCACGCACTGCAAGAGGTGGAGCGCAAATCTGAGCGTGTATCGTGAGTGAAAGATAGAGTAGGACCGATCAAAAAAAAATAAAAATAAAATTGCCACTAATGTTGCCGCCAGAATAAAACATGCGAATTGCACGTGCAAGTCGGTGAGCTTAAGGCCTTATTTAAGAGAACGTTCTCGCTGAAAACTCTTCAAATGAAACGGTCCTACCTTTATTTTCAATTTTCCGATTAGATTATAATGAGAACGGGTCGACTACAATAATGAAATCCATCAAATCAAAACAAAAAAATGTGGACAATAACGAAAAGTAAATAATAAAAGGGTTAAAATTATGAAAAACCCCGAACTGGTATACTTGTGACAAATTTACCAAAAACTAATTTTTTAACCACAAAAAACCTCAATACTCTAAAAAAACCCCAAATTGGTACATTTGTGACAAATTTATCCTCGATTAGTTTCTGTTAAATTGGATTAATATAAAAAAAAATCACAAACTGGTACACCTGTGACAAACGGAGGGTAAAACCCAAAATCGATACATCCGTCAACTGCCGTGTGCCATTTAAACAAAGTAATTTAACAGTAAAATTTAACGGAAACTAGCGGAGGGTAAATTTGTCATAATTGAACCAGTTTGGGGTTTTTGATGATTAAAAAATTAATTTAGGGTAAATTTATGATAGGCGTACTGGTTTGGATTTTCCATGGTATTATCCCTAAATAATAAATAGGAAATGAGTTTCAATTTTTTACGTTTCTTTTGCGGAAGTTGCTAGCTTCGAGGATGGGAGGAGCATCAGGTGCTGCTCACGTGCATCCCGCAGGTTGACCGCCACAACGACGGATCCCGTCAAACCTTTGACCTGCAGCCTCCGAAAATGATAAAGAAGCTTGCTCTGACTGAACGCTCTGTCCTCGCGTTGACAATGGCGACCCTGTTAGATTTCTTTATTGAATGCGTTCGATTCATCAGTTCAAAGACAAGCGCTTCGTGTTTAGGTGTTGAAAGCGAACATGGAGAAATCGCCTCCTCGTCCACCTCTGCTCCTGCTCGGTTTTGTTGACCAAGCAATGCGACGGTTCTCTTCCTGAAAAGTAAACGGAGGAGGAGGAGGAAGACGAGACCCACGAGGCGATTCCCATGGCCGCGTGAGCCCTTTGCTTGCTCTCTGTCGCGCGCGCGCGCCGGTTCTTTGGATTGCCGTTTCTGGGTGTTCGTCTACTGCCGTCGTTGGGTCGTTCTTGGAACCGAACGCGTGCTTCGCGAGATGGACCATCGCGCTGGTTCGTCGTCCTACAATGCGTCTCCGTGCGGTTCTCCGACGAGCGGCGGCCGGGGGCCGTCGGTCATGCAGAGGCGGCTCACGAGGCAGAGGAAGCTCCGGTACGCGACGGACGACGAGGTCGGGTTGGTCCAGGTGGGCTGCCTCTCGCGGTCGACGCCGGTGTCGCCCGAGTCAACGCCGGAGCTGCGGTCGCCGGGGAGGTCCGAGCGCCGGTGCTCGACGGCGGTGCCTCAACCGTTGCCGTTGCCCGAGATGGCTTCTTTGCGGATAGCGCCGGATAGAAATGGATTGACCGAGGAAGGACCCGGCTCCGAGGTAGGGAGGTAGGGCTGCTTTACGAGCTTAGTGGTAGTTCTGAGTTAGTTTGGCCACATCAATACGAGTCCTATGTTGCATGGTTTGCCTTGAAATGGTTGTAGAAGAGCATTGGGTTAATGGTCATTGGCATGTGCACTTAGACCGAAAGCTTGATATGTTTCACCTGCTTTTTGTACTGTTAATGACAGCTGATCGTCGTTCTTTGTCAAGAATTGGTCAAGAAAATCAGTGGAAATTGTTATTGTTCTGAGTCCAACTGATTTAAGCTAGCCAATTCGACGCCGTCTATTAAGAAAGAATGTTTAAATTTGTGTAATACGTGTCTGTAGAATCTCTCTCTTGTCAAGAAATTCTCTAGATTTGTTGCTTCCTTTTTTATCTTTGAAATCAAAAGCGAGTGTTTCTCCTGTGTTTGGATAGCAACTTATACTGTATAGATTAAACTAAACTATTGTGTCGGAGAAAGAAAATTGTATGCACTGGTCAGACATACCACTCTACATTTGTTTTGAGTTTCTTATATTATATGCAAAGAGCGAGCAGTGACTTTTACTGATCAAACTATTATGGTTATGAAACTTTCAGGAAGAACAATGGTCATGTCTCCCCAAAATCAGCTAAACCTTCAACATGCTACAAAAGGGGTTTCTTGCAAGACTTGAGCTTGGACAATCACAACTTGCGGATCAATATCCCAGCCAGGAGCGCTCCAGCTAGTAGTCTGTCAAGTCCTTATCTTAGCCCGCATAATCCAGCTACCGGGTACTTTCTTTCCTGTAAATCGCCAGTTCCAGACGGTTGGTCTACTTTCAAAGGTCAAACTCTAACCTTGCCGAAGTCTTTGGGTCATCTTTCGCCACTTCAAAGCCCGACTTCAAGAACTCCTGGCCCGAACCCCAAAAGTCCAAGTGGTACTGCAACATGGTATCAACACAAATCTCTTTCCGAGATTTCTATGGGTCAGCATGAAAGCATCTCTTATATCAATGCCCATCCATTACCTCTTCCCCCTTCAACGTCAAATATCAGCCATGCCGCAGAAAGGCAAAACGTGGCATCCATGACAGGTCAGTGGCAGAAAGGGAAACTTATTGGACGTGGTACATTTGGGAGTGTTTACGTTGCAACCAACAGGTAAGCTCATGCTTAAGATAATTTATAAATTCTTCATGATCTGTGACATCATTAACTCGGTTCTTTATCAGAGAAACAGGAGCTTTATGTGCAATGAAAGAAGTTGACCTAATAATGGACGATCCTAAATCTGTTGAATCTGTGAAGCAGCTGGAGCAGGTTACTGCTGATAACTTCATCTTAAATGGCACCTTATAACAGTAATTCTTTGTATGAGCATTGATATGAATCATCAATCTGACAAGTAGCCTTGCTCTTGTTCTCATTATTTTCTTATGGTTGCAGGAAATCAGAGTTCTTAGACAGTTCAAGCATCCAAATATAGTGCAATATTATGGTAGTGAAATTGTAAGTGCTTTCTAGTTTCCCCAATTTAGATTGGATTGTAGTGCCTTTCTGAAACTTTATAATGAAGGGAGCTCATTCTATCTACAGGTTGATGATCACTTCTACATATATTTGGAGTATGTCTATCCGGGTTCAATTAACAAATATGTCCGTGAACATTGTGGAACTATGACTGAATCAGTTGTTCGCAATTTCACTCGTCACATTTTAAATGGGCTTGCTTATTTGCACAGCAAACGCACCATTCACAGGTAAGCAACAGTTTACATGGGATACACTTGTATGACTCTCTTTAACATAAAATTGTGAACAAGTTTCAGATAACAATGCCAACTATGAATATTGTGGCAAAACTTTTTGATTGAAAAGGAACGTTCTCTGTTTTATTACAAGAATGCTATGTGCTTTATTATTCTTGCCTGAAATGTAGTTTTAAAGATTCACAACTTCTTTTGGTGAATACATTTCCAACTTGAATTGTGCTTGGAGCTGTACTCATTTATGTGATTCTTTTGTGAATAGGGATATAAAAGGGGCAAATTTACTTGTTGATGCCACTGGTGTAGTCAAGCTTGCTGATTTTGGGATGGCAAAACATGTAAGCTTAGTTTGCTTCTGCAACTTAAGTTTGTTGTAGAGCCTGCCTTTCATATGCATTTGCATGTTCCAAGAACTTTTTATGTTTCCACATGCCAGATTCTCACAAGAAATTATCCTTCATTTACCTTTTGCACATCTTTTCCTGTTTATTAAATGGCCTTACATAGTCATTGTGCATTTTTCATTCTTGAAATATTAAAAGTGCTTGAAGGAAACTATTAGAAGGGTTTTGGTGTCAGAGATCGCCGGCTCAGATCATATATGTGCACTTGTTAAATTGAAGCTCTCCTTTGCGAAAATATAAAACTAATTGTAGATTCTCAATCATTCTTGTACCACCCCATTAAAGTTGGACCCTTCTTTTTGGTCAGAGAGAATGAAATCCTTTATAAAATTCCTTTGTAGCAGTTACCCTCTATGTGCTGGTCAATGTGTCCATAAGTTCTCGATAAGAACTGGCATGCAACCTCTTCAGCGATTCAAGGCATTGTCATCAAATTATTTTAGCATCATGTCATTTAGATTCTTCATATAATGGAAAATCATTATGTCTAATTCGGTTGTAGTGATAAGGAAAGTTCTACTTTTTCCTTACGCTAAAGCAAAATTAAAGAAGAGAAGTTTAAAATTTGATTTTGTTTTTACTTTATTTTTACGTCAAGGCCAGCCCTAGGAGTATGGATTGTGCTCTCCTATCAATATTTGGTGTGCATGAGATGGAAGACTGCCATGCTCAACAGCATCTAGTCAGATACTAAAAAAATGTTGAGCAGCTCATTGCTAGGAATAAATTGTTGGTTAAATCCATGTTCATAACACATTAAAATATAAAGTCAAAAACTTGAATTTTCTGTTTTTACAAGGCCACTTCTAGGAGCATGGACTATGTAGTCCCATTAATTATCTAGTTCGCGAGAGTGAGGATTGTCATATCTATAGGTGACTAATCAGATACTAAAAAAATCTCAAACACTTCATTGTCAGGCAAATTTTTTTTCTATTGGCTATGTGTTCAAATAATTTATATATTGGTGTTTAATAACTATGGAATTGTTTGTAGCAATTTCTATGCAAAAAGTACATGCATCAAAAGAATCAATTGGGTTTTCAATCTAGGATAAAAAGATTAATCGACTTTCTTTAGTGGAAGTGGTCATTCAACTGCCAGTTAGATCTAATAAAAAGGAATTATCCTACACATGATTAGTGAAAGGTTTTGTTTTTCACAAATAGTCATGTGATACTCACACATGCACAAGCACAATTATGAAAGCCAATCGAAATATTCACAAATATCTAACACATAAGTATATGCATTGAACATCCAGATAAAAACCAAAATTTTAATTCATGCAGAAATCCATATTATATGAATGCACGAAAATTGCTTACTAAATTTATAATGGTAACTACTGCATAAGTAGCATAAGAAATAATGTTAATATAAAATATTGTATTGCTCAACTCATTTTGCAATGAGAAATATATATTCCCCATAGAAAGCATAATTAGGAAATTGAAGGTTTTGGGGAAGTTTATTTGACATGTAGAAACTTGGCTTTTAGCTAAAAATTTAAGTAAAGATGGGCAAGCCGGGGGTTTGGATTCAGGAAAATTCAAGGGAATAAAAAACATAATCAAAGTAGAAACAGGCGCTGTCATGGATGGAGGGGCACCGCCTTTGCATTACATGAGTAGCATCATGGAAGTTTACTGCATCAACTTTTTAGTTGCCTGTATGCTAACTCCAGCTTGTATACAGCTCACAGGACAGGTTTCCATTCTCTCTCTGAAGGGTAGTCCTTATTGGATGGCTCCAGAGGTAGCGTACCTGAAACTGATTTAAACTCACGTTCCATGCAAGTGCAGGCTTTGTTGTCTTATTTCAATTTGTCATGCAGATCCTGCAGGGATCTATGACAAAGGAGAAGACAAGTCCTGAGATGGCTTTTGCTGTTGATATATGGAGCGTTGGTTGTACAGTCATCGAAATGCTGAACGGAGTGCCTCCTTGGGGTGAACTAGAAGGGGTTAGTGTGACAACTACTCGCGTCATTCAATTTCATTGTGAAGGTTTCACATTTTTCTGGTTCTAGGATTTTCCTTTATTTCAGCCAATTTTTTCATTGCTTGTGTAAGTTCCAGCATTGGCATCAACAATTGGCCTTTTGCACCAATACTTAATGTGCACATGCATGGTCAATTTGCTGAGATTTTATGAGCACAAAACCTGTACTTCCGTTGTTTTTCAATAGTTTATCCTTGAGGGACCACTCTTCCGGTCAATTATTTCTTGAGATATCATATAGCAAGATAGTTTTCTGTCCTCAAGTGTTAACATCGGATATTTTTCACGAAAAACGGCTTCTCGTATCTCCACTTGGTTGCTGCTTCTTACTGGTGATACTGTATTCACACGTGATAGTGTTCAGAATAATGCTTTTATTTTGATTGTCTGGCATTCTTCCATGAATCAGCCTCAAGCGATGTTCAAAGTTTTGAACCGAAGCCCTCCCATACCAGAGAAGCTATCATCAGAAGGAAAGGATTTCCTACAGTGTTGCTTCCAAAGAAATCCAGCGCAGAGACCCTCAGCTAAGGAGCTGCTACAGCATCCTTTCTTGAGAAACTCTCCCAATCAAAATGGTTCAAGCTTTAGACCACTTTGCCAACTCAAATGGATGGTAAGTTATGACTTCTTTCTCAGGTCGAAGCATCCTCTATTGCATCTTGTAGCCTAGGAAAATGTGACGTTCTTGTTCTGTCTCAAACAAACATTTCTAGGGTAAATCACAAAGTGCTGAGTACACTGTAAGACATAACTTTGATTTTTTCTCCATGACTTCAGGCACGAAGATGACAAATGACCCCTTGGTATGCAAATGGCGAGTACTTCTTTGAGGTGCTTTTCTTGTCATAATTTATCTAAGTCTTGCTCTAGTGGCTTGGAATTTTATTTCTTGCAGACATAAGACATCTGATGTTGCTCTAACGTGTTCGTTATGCAGATACTCCCCGGTACATGATATAATGCAGTTAAATCTGCGCCGTGACCTTTTCTGCTTGCGTCTTACATAAAGAGTCACCCTATTCCTCTTGTACCATAGCTTCATTCTCATCCATTCTTTTGGTGACTGACCTGGTTCAGCGATTAACAGAAAAAAATTAGTATGGCACTAGCAATACAAATCTCGTGATCCAGTGTGATCTGCACAGTAAAGAGTTGTCGATGAGGCTACTAACCCGACACATAAAGTGCTGTCGAATTTAAATCTTGCTATACAGGACTTCAAGTCCTTGGACCGGAGTATAGCTCGTAATTGATTGGGATGTGTCTTTTTTGCCTCATTTGAAGGAGGATAGCTCTGTTTGGGAATCAAAATGACCGAGGATCAAGAACCTTGTCTTTCATCCATCATGAGGGAGCAACTAAAGCAGAAAGAATCACGGATTAGCATGGTGATTCTGAGTCCTGAAGGTGCTACAAAATCTGTTGAGATAGAGAGAGAGAAAGAATAGGACATTTGAAATGTGCTGGATAATTTCGTAGCAAGCGAATTCGTTCGAGGCAAATTATGCTCCTTTTCTTCTTATGAACTGAAAAATTACTTGCATTCAATCTCCTTTTCATGTATTCTTCTAATCTTTGTGTTTTTTTATTCTGCACAACCCTCCTTCGTCACCATTGATGGATATGTGTTGTGTTAAGAAAAGTGTGTATAGGTTGGGTACTTAGAATTTTTCCCTACCCTTATACTCTGTTTGGGAGCTTCACAGAAGAAGACAATGAAAAGAAACAACCTACTATTTTAATTTTTCCTCCCTTCTCTTTTCAGGAAATTTTAAATTTTCGAATCAAATTTTCATTGCTCAGCATTTTTCCTATATGTCAAATACTCCATTAGTGATCAAAGTTTTTACTGATGGAGTAAAAGGAGATTGAGATAATTACCAAGTCGGTCCTAAATATATTATACGGATGTCAATTCAATCTTAAACTTTTCAATTTTGTCAATGTAGTCCTAAACCTTAATAGGAAATTTCAATGTAATCATTGTAGCCAATCGCAACCGGAAATTATTGATGTGGCATCCAGTCATCGCCGTAGACAACTTTACTCGAAACGTTTTACAGTCAGCGATTTCAGACGGTAATAGGTTGGAAGAATTATATTGAAATTTCATGCAAATGATTTCGAATATATTGACAAAATTGTAAATTTTAGAATTGAATTGACATCCATACAAAAATTTAGGGCTGATTATAATTTTCCCAAAAAAAGTTTCTTACTGGTTGCTGCACATTTGTTTGAGAGAACTAAATGTTCTATAACCTGACGTGATGCTCTGTTGGTGTGGTACCTTGAATATTTGAAAAGTACTTTTGATGAAGTTCCTATGCTTACGATTTATTCTTACCTTTATTTATGTCGCTAACTAAATTAAAATGAAAAACTTACGTTGCACTTGATTCGTCTGTTTTTCTAATTTATTTCAAAAAAAAATCATTTTCTTTTTCCCTTTAATTTTATTGAAAATACTATCAAGAAATAATATGATTTACTACAAATGAGCGTTTTTTACCATATGGGATATATTTGATTGAAAATGAAGATCATTTGCGGTGTGCTGAATGCATTTACCAAATATATAAGGAGCTCATATTAACATCATGGATAGCAAGTTAAAAAAAGAAGAAGAAGAATGGTCGAGATTGCTTATAATTTCTTTTTTCAAAGGAAAATGACATAAATAATATCTATACTTTGGCCTAATATGTAATGTGGTTCATAAACTTTCAATTCGTTCAATACGGTCTCTAAAATTTAACTCAATATGTAATGTGGTTCTATAACTTTTCATTTGTTCAATATAGTCCATGAATCAAACTAGTTTCTGAATTACATGAAAATATATAATGTTGTCCTTCCATTAATTTAAGTTCATTAGCAATATTGAACATTTTCATATAGTCCAAAAATCAGTTAAACATGTATTAAAAGTTCAGGAACCTATTACACATTAGGCTAAAGTTCATGAACCGCATTAGATAAATTAAAAGTTTAGGAATCACATTACACATTAGGCTAAAGTTTAAGGACCATATTATATTGCTTATTGTAAAAATTTAGGGATTATTTGTGTCATTGCATCTTATCTAGAAATTTAAATAATTTCCTGTTTATTATCGATAATTGTTCTGGTATCCCCTGTTTCAAAAATGCAGTTCCGCTCTCCCTCCATTTCGATGAACGGGTTCCGACAAGACGAGCAGCGACCCCGTCGATCTGCAAGCAGCCGTCTTCTTCTTCTTCTTCTTCAAGCTCTGCACGCGAGCGAAATCGATCGATCTGCATTCTTCTTCTGCTAGAAGAAGCAGCAGCAGAAGCTCGTCTTCTTCTCCTTCGGTTCGCGTGATCTCTGTTCGTTTCTTCTTCGCGCATTTCTCGCCGCCCCGTGATTCCTTTTTCCACGGTTCGAATTCCGCTTCACGCCGTGTTTGATCGCTCATCTTGAGCGGGAATTGGATCGGCTTTTGGCGTGCGTCGTGTTGGGTATCTTTGAAAATGGAGAACCCTCTTCGCTACGGTATGATTATCTCGATCTTGTTCCTCCCTCTGCTTTTCGGGGTTGATTTTCTGGCGAATTCGCTTCTAGCACCGGGGCGTTGGTCAAGTTTTTCAGTTTCAGTGTGTGGGTCGGTGGGTGGTTTTCCACTTGCTTGCTGATTGCTCCGTTTTGTCGCCGACTGAATTTGTGAAGTTTGAGTTCGTCCTTCTTGGGGTTTATTTTTGTTTTTCTTTTTCGGGACTTGAGGATTTACGGTTTTGGAGGTGTCATTGCGCGGATGTCGTTCACATTTTCACTATGGGAGAGTTTTGCGTGATGATAATGCCGTCTCTTTCTGTAATTACTTTGTGCATTCGGCCAATCTTGTTCGTGGGTTTTCCTCTTTCGAGGCGAACCTCTCTTTTAACTGTTAATTCTGGTTCTGGGGTCTATGCAAAGCATGTTTGTCAATCATGACAAGAATAGATATATAGTGAATCGGCACTTTGTCATGGTATGTGAGCTTGCTAGAAAGGAGTGGATTTTAATTATTAGATTTTAGTGGATAGGAACAATGGAAGCTCTCATTAAACACTTCCACAAGAGTCAAAGGGCTGTATATGGTTAGGAACAATGATGAACTTGGATGCTACTGTTTGAGCGAACTATACATTATGAATTATGTCAATATGAGTGCTGGATCAGCCACTTATGATGCAGCATGGATGAGCAACTTGTGCTGGGTTTGAACAACCTGTCTTGTTTCTGGTGCTTTGTGGTTTTGAAGTCCATAGGTATTAAATCATATTGATGTTTCATAAGGTTAATGATTTTGCCTTTTTCGCAAAGCAGATGAAGTAGACATTAAAGCGTGTACGAGTTTGGTTGATAAGATATATGGTGGTTTCTCTGATGGTTTGCATTTCGCTACTCCAAGTTCGAGCTTGAGGACAAATGAAGTTGACCTGGTATGTCCCTCATGTCAGTACTCATAGATGTAACGTTTTCATACTCAGAGACTTCCTTCTGACTTTGTTTCCTCTAGGTAAAAGGTGTCTTACAGATATTGCAAGGTTTATCTAGTTCTTTATTCTATTGGGACCAAGACAAGAAGTGTTTCTGTGCCGCAACTGGGATATATGTCACCCATCTTTCCCGGACGAGTCTTCATGCCATTCTCAGTCAGTTTAGCTATGCTGCTACTTGCTTAAAGCTGGTTGATCTTATAGTTGATAGGGTAAAGACATCTTCAAGATCACCTCCCCCTACCTTGAGGGCATTTGTATGTTCTGTTTCCTCATGGATTACGGTAAGTACTTTGGACTGAACACGCGTGAAATTATTGGCTGGTAACTAGTAGAAATACCTAGAGTGATCTTGGATTTATTTCTTGCTATAGAGATTGCGGCAAATTGCTTTGAAGGAGGAAATTCAGATGAGCAATTCACATAGTGGAACGACACCAACCCTGTTGGGACTGGCAAATTCTTTATCCAGGTCTGACAGTATACATATTTCATGGAATTAGATTATAGTCACCATTAATTTTAGGGATGATGTAATTATTTTGGTACATAATTGTTTTTGTCACGCTCTCTTGCTTCCTGCACCTATGTAAGAGAAGATGTTTGCCTTCAGTTCCTGCTACATTTTCTCAAACTTCTTTCATGGAGGAGCTCATTCTAGGTTTCAGTCTCAAAACCTGTTCTTGTAGGTATATGTTGGTTCAGTCTTGTTATAGTATTTCTGATGATGTTTGGTCATATACCAGTCTTTGCTCAGGTGCTGAGTATCTTTTGGAAGTAGTTCATGGAACAATTCCTCTGGCGTACTTTGAGCCTGTGTCTTCTGTTACAGCTTCTGAAGTGGCAGCTCATATCCTTGACTCACTTTATAAAAGGCTAGACGAAACTTGTCTGGTACAAGGTGGTGAGGTGCTGTTCTTTTATTGAGATTTGCTCTTTTTGATCTTTTCAGTTTTCAGTTTTTCTTTTTGTAATTTCTCTGCTAGAAGCACTTCAAAGAAGTAAAAAAGAAATGCTAATTACAGGAGGAAGCTTACCAGATGCTACTTTATTTATTTGTTGGAAGTGTGTTGCCATATATAGAGGGTCTGGATTCCTGGCTATATGAAGGAATATTGGACGATCCTTTTGAGGAGGTAATTGAGATTCATATTTCGCATTGCTGCTCTCTCTGCTCATTTTATAAAGTGAATTTGTTATTACAGAATATGTACCTCATGCAGTATCATTCTATAACTCCGATGAAGCTTTGGGTTAACTTTCTGTTAATTTTGCTGAATTAATAGTTTGTCAAATCAAGAGCTTTTTATGACCATGCTGGCGGAATCGTATTTGCACACCATTTTTCCAGTAATCTTCCTTGATTTTGTTATGATAATGCTGAAGTTCTCCCTTGTGCTTTGGTTGGAAGATGGGAAGGGGAGGAAAATGAGAGCTGAGGTAAAAATGTTGGGACCAAATTGGAAGTTTTTGTGAGAGAAATTTCATATCCCCATTTTCTACCCCCACCCCTTATTCAGGCCCCCCTCCCTCTCTGCCCATCTTCCAAACAAAGCCTTAGTCTGTTTTATATTTGTGAATATTTGGTGTGTTCTTTTTGGCCTTCTAATTGGCTTTCTTGCTTATACTGTTTCCTTTTTCCTCCCTGGAAGATGTTTTTTTATGCTAACAAGGATGTCACGGTTGAGGATGCTGACTTTTGGGACAGGAGTTATCTTTTGAGACTAGCACAGGATCGCAAGTTAGATGCTCAGCAATCTGTTGTCAATAACTCCAAGGATCGTGTACCTTTAACGGGTGATAGGAAGGAAACAACGGAAAGGGAACTGAATCCTGGCTCTTTGAAAGCTAGGGAATCGAGTGAGAGAGATAGGCAAGTGTGTCCTATCTTTATTAAGGACATTTCTAAATCAATTGTTTCCGCCGGCAAGTCATTCCAGCTAATACAGCACGTTCCAACAATTTCCTCTGATGCTTTGCTTCGGAGAAGTAATTATGAAGCTGATTCTTTAGGAGGTTCTGTTAATCTTAATGGCTTAAAAAAGATTTATTGTAGGCAGAGCATGGCC